TCTTTGGAGATTCTGGGCTAAAGGTGAACAATGCATGTAAAATGGGTATGATAGACTGGCTGTCTAATAACGAAACACATGTTAACCCAGCTATACTTTCAGTTTTAACCAGACTTAAAAGCACTTTCCCAAAGTTGCTGGTTAGGTTTGGTTAAGTAAGATTCCCTTCCCTACTTCCCTTAGTCAGCTCCTGGTACTTTCCCAGTGCCTATTCTTCATTAATGGACTCACCCACCAACTTAAAATCTATTTTATTGATTTGCTATGCTTGATTTGATCTGGAAAATTAATTTTTAATTGTGTTTTAGTGTAAATGTCTTACTAAAATAAAACACTGTAAGAACTTACATTAAGTAAGGCATCAAACTTCAACTGGTACATCATCAGTGTTCACATCCATCTGATGACTTTTGTCACACGTCATATTTCTCTTTCTCTCTCACATGCTTCCAGCTAATGGCTTTAAGATAATCCTGAGCTTGCCTGTCTAGAGAAATCCTGTGTAATATCAGTCTGATCTCTATCTCAGAAAACACATCTGAATCCATATTAATAAAAAGGTCCACCAGCAGCATTCCAGACATGAGAAAACACAGACCCGTCTGACCTGCTGCAGCTCTCATTCTTCTCGCTCTATACAGTTACAAACACTGTAGTAAAGGGAAAGACATAGCTGCTTATACAGACCTCGGGTCAATGCGGTCATTCTCCCTTTGTCCCTTTAATCAATGCTGTAAAGCCGTGCAAGCAAGGTAATTACCTTTAATGTTCTTAAAGCAAAAACATAATTACGGACTAATGCTGAAACTAAAATAACGAAACCACCACAACCAAAAACCTCAGGTGGGAGATCTAAACCGATGAAGACATTATGTCTGGCTTTTTGCAGCCCAGCACTGTGGTTTCAGGTCTGAGTGGCGCAGTGTGGAGGTGTAGGCAGAAGTTGTACTCACAGGTTTCGAATGCGTGACTCAGTTGGCTTTTCAGCGCCGTCAACTTCTGTTCCATCTACTTCTGTCTGCCCGAACAGAGAACTTCTCTCCTCCTCATCACTAGCAAGAGAACATATTTAGGAACATATTTCCTCACCGGCCCATCTGGATACAATAAATGTGTGTTGTGTGTGTAAGAGAGACCTGCTGCTGCATTCATTCACAGGAATCCCGAGCATCTTTGCTTTAATGAGCTTTCTCTTTTTTTTGATTGCAGAGCGGACGGCTTCTAACAGGAAACCTGGGCACCTCTCCTCATTCAGGATCTCCCTGCAGGAACACACAATCATTTACATTTACAAATCATTCAAAACTTTAAATCATTGAGAACTGTTTTTTTAAACAGCAAAAACTAATGTAATAATGGTAGGAAACACATACCTGATGTAAACATGATGAAATAAGACGTGTCAACACACACACACACACTAAATTCACCTCTGATAGTAGCTGAGCTCCTCCTGTACCAGGAACAGGTTGGTTTTGAGCTCATTCCTTTCGAAAATGATGTCACGCACCTCCTTCTTGGTGAAGCACGGCTGATCGGGATCCTTCTGGTCAACCGCCGACTTTTTTTTTGACTCACGAGCAGTTTGACTCGGACTGGCCTGAAGGGAAGACAGAGAGTCATCAAGTCACACTGACTACTGAACTACTTCAAACTACAGTCAACAACAAACTGTCAAGTCTTGAGCTTGTTGGAGGAGGAAAGGCACGCTGATAGGTTGTGTTGGTTGGACTGGGATTGAAAGCGACTGTTAAAATTACTTTTTAAAGCTTTAGCTCTAGTACAGAATATTTTAGAAGGATTGGAGCAGAAGAATTAGTTAATTATCCCAGAAACTGACAGATATATTTTGACTTGCAGCTCAGTAAGTGTTGATTTTTAATACCATAAACAAATGTTAAAGTAGCTCTGAACGCTAGAAGCAAACCTGTGCAAGCACACTTTCATACATGTGAGAAGGGGACTATCATATACTTTTTGGGGCAAGAAACAAAGGAAACATAAATGAAATATGATAATAATATAATCCATCCTGTGTATGAGGCATGCGTACAGGGTTGTTGCTGTTGGTTCTGTCCAGCTGTGCTTGGAGGTTTTCTATCTCTTTGCTTTTCTCCTTCAGGTCGGCCTCCATGTCAGCTTTCCTCTCCACGGTGCTCTTCAGCTGGGCCTGCAGCACATCCTGCTTGTGTCGCAACTCCGCATTCATCTTCATGAAGCGGTCCAACTGCTCCTGGAGCTGCACACACACACACACACACACACACACACACACACAGATAAAGATACTGATACATGTGAACTACAATTTTTAATCATAAGCAAACAGGAGCAAATAGACTAAACAGGCTTAAAGTCAAACAGGCGGTTTCTATATTTCCCACCAGGTATAAATATAGTTAAACCCAAAACCAATAAGGCAGGGCTGAACCAGAACAGACAGTCTATCTGCATCTGAGAGTGGGGTGAAAATGTTTCCATGCATGGGATTTGGACAAAAGGTCTGGGGGAGGAGAGGGCGAGAAATGAAACCACACAATGTCAACACAAGTGTAGCATTCATTTTAAGAATGACCAAAAAATTCTAGGCATCCAAACAGAGACACTAGTTTAGTTGACCATGAGTTGTTTTTTTTTTTTTCAATCTTCCACTCAAGTCAACTGACTGTGAGCAAAAAGCAAACCATTAACAAATACACACCCAGTTATGGCTGCTACTTACATCACGTGGTATACATGCCTTGACACACATACAGACATGTGCAGACATTCAAACAAACACACACACAAAGTGGCTGTGTGGGGGTAAAAACTCTGCCCAGACCTGTTTTGAGTGCTGCTTAATCCTCAACCAGTAACTATGTGGATAATCTCTTCCCTCTTTCCCTGATGGAAACACTTCCTGTCCTCCAGTGTGTTTACTTGTGCGTTACACATGATGTAACTTCTCTTTTGATGCCGCATGTGATACATAATTGTGTAATAATGTGTGTATGCTACAATGCTCTATATGTGCAAATATTAAAGACATAGAAACTTCATGACACTAACACTATTGTTTATGAGGAAAGTCAACATGCCCTTAAAGAAACCAACCTTTGTAGCCAGAGCCATAAATAGTACAACAGTGTCATGCATACCAGCAGAGATGACAGCTTTCTCTCAAGTGCAGAAGGCCAATTCAATTTCTTTCTGAGTTGAGAGCTGCTGTGCACGAATGTATGACTTTAAATGAGAATGTGGCAGAAGAATCGTCACACATTTGTGTCTCCTTACCGCCTCCACCTCTTTGGAGATGGTGGTGATCTCCTGGACTTTGGCCCTCAGCTCATCTCTCTGCCTGTCCACCACCTCCTTCAGCTTCAGCATCACCTCCCGCTCCTGCCGCTGGACGCGGTCTGCACACACACAGAACACGATCTTAATGTTTTACACAGACTTAAAGGTTCAGTTCACCCCAAATCACAAACAAACATACAGTATGTCTTGTTGCTCCTCATGTTTTCTGTTCTTGCAGAGAGTTTCCATTTTTTGGTTTTGAGATCTGCGTCTCTAAAATGAGCTTGATGATGATTTTTCACTAAAAAGTTCAACTGTTCACAGCAAAGTCTGTGGATGATCTAGAGAAAGTGAGACATTGTGTTCAGAGAGACATTTTATTGTTGAGTTTCTCACATGTAGCACAAACAACATTCCATCTCTTTTCTTTTTTGTATTGAAGTGGAGGGAGAAATCTCTGACGTGGATATCTCTGGGCAAATATAACCAAAGCTATTGTACAGCCAGATAGCATTCATGTTTTTTTTTTATGATTTTGATAAACTGACCTTTCAGATATACTGGCACTGCAGCAAAAAATAAAGCGTGTCTCTTAAACCATGAACTGCACTCCATTAAAATGTCATTCTTGTATATACATTTAATAATTGACAGCACATTTGAACATAACTTAAATTAATTATGGGAGTCACTTTGATCACATAAAATTAACGATCACAGTTATCACCTGCCACAGGGCCTCCTGTCAAATAAATCACAGAAAGTATTAAGACGGCATGTTTTTCCTGTCTGTACAAGAAAACAAGAGTCAGCAAAGCGACTCCACCCTCTCGCTCACAGTCTTCTACATGCTGAAATGAATCAGTGAAAACAAGCCATGATAGATTTTCTGTTTCACTCTGTAATTATTACACAAAATTGATGAAGTAGATGTCAAATGTAAACAATGTTGTATAATTATTTATGCTTTTCTAACAAAATATCTGTCTACCTTGTGGAAATATCTTCAGTGCATAGTTTTTATCTTTGCAGGGTAATCAGGTAATGAGAACTTCTGCTGCTTCAGAAATAACTGCCCTATAAACAATCCAACAACCAGTTTGACTGCTTTCAACCTTAGTGCTGTTAACCCACTGCTTTGAATCTGTACAGTAGTTGGTGGAGAGGCATTTTTATGGAAAGTAATGCTACATACATTTGCATCATTGGGCTAGAGTAGGAAAACTACATAACCAAATGGCCTTGAGGCTGATTTGCTTGCTAGAAACGAGCTGATGGCAATGCTGGATAAGTGCTGGACAGGTAGACGTCAAATTCTCCTGTAATTCTGTTCAGAAAAAAACAGTGCTGCTAAAAGCAATGAGGTATAGAACATGCTTGGTTGTTTTTCTACATTTATGTGTTTTAAGTTATTTAAAACTTATCATAACTCACCCCCTTGGAAACGAGATGGTACATCTCAAGGGGTTATCCTTACTAAAGAATTTAAAGTTGGGGAGTTAGAGCCACCCTAAAAACACCTAATGTGGGAGCCACACATTCCCACTCAATTCTCACTGATGGCAAGAATCCCCATGATTCCCTCAGGCTGTACGAAGAGTTCATATGGTAACATCTGCATTTATAGGGTGGGATTTGAACTCTCATGTGAGTAATATAGAGTACACAATAAAACAGGGAACGGCTGCTTTTGGAACTGATCTGGGAAGTATTTTTGCAAACAGACCAGATTTCATCAACCCGTCGTACATTTCATATTTGACTTTAAAAACCTGGGCCATACCTTCCTGTGCATGGCTGCCCTTCAGCCTGCTCTGAAGCTCCTCTCTGTCCTCCTGGAGCTGCTGTACCCGGACCTGCAGCTCCTCACACCTCTTTCTCCACTGCTCCTCTTTCTGCTGCAGCTTCTGCTTGAGAGGACGGGAGGCCGTGATAAAACCATATCCGCAGAGACAGGATATTACACTTTCTATTAAAATCTCTTGAGCATGCAAGGATTTGGCTTCTGCAAAATAGGTTGTGTCCAAGTGGGTGTGTTATTGTGTTGTTAAGTTATTACAGATGTTTTGTTGAAATGGTTCCTGGACAAATTCTGACATCTGAGAACCACAACTTTTCATTTACTGAATAACAGTCTTTTCTACTGTGTACTGATACTACAGATTAAAGTGTAAGGGGTTAGACATGCTGCTGGATAAGCATTACCAGTAGCGATTTCATATGATGGAGAACTGGCAACAATGTAGGTTAAACGGCATAGAACAAATACTTTGTTAAGAAACAATGAGGTTCTTTGTTGTGTTAATAAACCATAAGATGTATTACAGCTTCTGCAGTGGAAGTACAGTACTTCCCTCTGTCACAGGAGCATTTTAATGTACGTTTTTTTTTATTCGTTCCATGTGTACCAGGTGGAATTGCGTGAATTTCACACTTCATATTTCTACTTTTATTCCATTACAACAATAGTGTTGAAGAAAAATCCTTAAAGTCCAGTTCAGGTTTGCTGTGGTGGTGTCAGTTTAATAAAGCATGCCGGCATCCTGGTGAACTTACAAACACAGAGCAGGTCTGAGTCGGTAAGCGGACCCCGAGCAAATGAAACAAGGTACTTTTATACGTGGACCAATACGACAGACAGTATGTTAATGGTAGCCATTGATCAGGCAGTCACCGGACGTTACAGGATTAACATCGGAGTCAGAGGGAAGTGATACAAAGGGTAGTTATCAGACCAAATGTGATGGAGACAGAGGGCAGTAAGGTGGGTGTGGGGTTTGGTCAAAGGGGGAAGGAGACAATATGAATATACATTTGGTTAGTAAGTAACTGTAAAATCTTCCTCCTCACTAGATTAATAATAATAAAAAATAATGTGGAATATACACATGGTTGGATTCACTTGCTTTGATGCCCCTGGGCAGGATAGAGCTTCTACAACCCCTGCCCTGCGGCCAAATACCCCACTTTTCCCTGCTGGTAGTCTAAGATATAACACATACAATAAGCTGCTAAGGTGGTTAACATTATTGACTCATTCGTGTTTTTTTCATTATTAATGATTGCTGTAGATCCACACTTATCAATATTAAATAAAGAATAATATTAGTCTGTTTTTTTTATACTTGACACCAAGTGTATTCCCTGCTAATATGCTATATTATATAAAACGTTATCAAACTATAAGTAAATGTATTGATGATTAGCTAACTTCTTTTTAGCTAAGTTAAGGTAATAGCTAAGGTTTGATAAATCCTGTAAAACTAAGTTAAAAGTACCTAAGTTAGTTCAACATACACGTTTTATTTATGGATCGATACAGATTATTGTAAATGAATAAACTAACGTTATGTTAAACATCCCAACCGTTAATGGCGCGGTTGCAACACCAACTGTCAAGCCGCGGTTGCCTTGACGACACCGGACTGGGCTGGTATTCAGGTTAACGTTGGCGGATTGATATCAGTTCACTCGTCAGTTAACTAACCGCCACGGTAGTTAACAGTTCAGCGTTAACGTTATATCCTATAACCCCGGGACTCAAATATAAATAACGTTAGTAGTAATTTCCGTGTCCAGCTGAATTAACACACACCTTATGTAACTATATTTAATGTGCATGTTACATTTGAAAAGCGTCGGCCATTTATCGTTAGTGTTACCAATCGGTTAACAAAGCTAACGTTAGTTATTAACCGTTGAGAAGGTAACAGTTATAACGCCGGTATAATACACACAATGTCTGGAAGGCACTGGCGCCGTTATATATTGTTACAAAGTGCTGTGGAGGGGATTAAAGGCTCCCACGTCTCTCACCCGTATTTCATTTTTGTCGTTGCCCTCCTCGCTGTCTTTCCCCGCTCGTTTCTTCTGCTGTTGCAGCTGTATCGTCTCGAAGGTCCTGAGCAGCTCCTCTTCCTTCAGCTTGTGAGCGTGGTTCCTCGACGCGAAGCTCTCCAGCAGCTCCAACACTTTCACTATTTTCGGCACCAGACCCACGACGCTGTCTTTGCCACAGCCATCGATGAGTTTCTCCACCTCGGTGCCGATCAGTTTGGCTATTTCGTAAACATCATCCACGGTTAGAGCCGAGGACGTCCTGTCAAAACAGCCCTCCGTGTGTTTGGTCTCTTCCTCGGGTCCCTCCATGTCTGAATCCGACCCGCTCGCTTCACATGCGTTCAGCTATCGAAACTCACAGGGGCTCGTCAGTGCGACATGACTTTAAGGAAAGTGAAAACAAAAAAAGAAATAGTGCTGGTGTGAAGTTTAAAGCCCGTGCAGTTATCTTGCCAACGCTGTCGACACGCCTAAACTTGACTCCTCTTCAAACAACGCGTCATGCATCTTTATGGTGCGGGCACATTACCACAGCCTAACCCCAAAGGAAGAAAAATATATACAAGGACATCGAGTACTCTGCAATGCACTTGTAGTGCAAGGCTGGACAGTCCAGGACAGTAGCAGTCTTCTCGCTGCAGGATCCTCCTACTTTTCTGACCAATGTAATTCGAGTACACACACACACAGACAGACTACATGTAGAAACTCGGCTGCCAGGTCGAGCATACTGATGCATGCATCAGAGCGTGAACATTGAATTTCCTCTGTAGATCTGCAGTGAGAAACTGACCTATAACTAAAATAAAAAGGCTAAATTAAACTTAAAACAAGACAAACCACTAATGTGTGCTCGAGTAGGAACCAACCCGAGCCGAGTGCATTACTGTGGGCGGTGTTGACCTCTGCCCTCCTCAAAGAGGGAAGCAAAGCCTCACAAACAAAAGTCCCCCCGCATGTAAAGTTTTATTAAACAGTCAGAACGACAGGAGATTACATTACACATGACACATGTTTATAAAAAATGTGATCTTTATTTCAACCCGAGCTACAATGTGACAGGATGTACAGTACAACGTAAGCAACAGGGCATTACCGGCATGAAAATACAACTTTCAATTTCATTTCCAAAATGGCTAAGGGGAAGTAAAGTCTTAACCCCTGAAACAATGTTAATTATCAAATATTTCACCTCAGTATTGTGTACTGAAAACTACACACACACACATTCACATATGCTTGAATGTAGAAGAAGAAGCCTTACGATAATAAATGGGGGCCAAAGAGTGGGGAACAAAACATTTGTAGAAAATATCAAAAAAAACAATTAACAGACTCCTAAAAGGTCCTAAAGCCTTTACATAAAAACTCCAAACATCACAGTTACATGTGTTCAATAGAAATATTACAAGGGCTGTCCTGGACCGGCTCCACATGATTCCTGCAGAGTTATCTACAAAATGTGTCGAGAGCTGAGCGCCTCAGCCATACATGTCCTCGCGGTCTGCGTTATAGATCTCACCCTCCTGCAGCGAGGCAAAGTTTAGGAAGTGCGAGGGGCGGTGGACTTCGTGGTAGAACTCCTTCGGGTTGGCCAGCTGGAGGTCGTACTTCATGTTGGGGTCATGGCGCACACCTATAGCAATACAAGATGACAAAAAATGGTTATTTGAGCTCACTTTTATGTATTGTACAACATCACACCCATGATGACAGTATGACAGCCTTGCCTTAATACACTATTTTCTATAACATTGAAAATAAGCTGAGTATTGAGCTGTAAAAGCAGATCTGCACAGTAAAATCAATCAGATTGATACTGGAACAGAGCGGAAATATCAATGTATGGCAACGATTTGACAAAGGAAAGCACACAACAGTATTGAGGATGTGCCACATGATTAAAGCAGAATCATTTAGCTCATCTAGTAAATGTATTAAACTAAAGTTCATCTTATAAAAGTGGAAAATAAAAGATGGGGCAATAAAAAAAACAAAAAAAACAAAGGCTACTGACCCATGAAGTTGTAGTTCCAGGACACCTGTCCAGGCACCATGAAGAAGCCCAAGAAGCGGTCAGAGAGCAACATCTGCACTCTCTCATAGTGGGATGGCAGGTAGCCTTTAGGGTTGTTGCCCTTGTCGGTATTCTGCCGACCCCACTCGTAACCACTGGGTGTCAGCTTGTAGGCTGTAAGCGTGCACGAGCCTGGAGTGAAGCTGAAAACCAAAGTAAAATGCATTTAAGTACCATCAACAATCCCTTCACTACAGTTAAAAACAGCTTGTTCTTTTATTCCTGTAGCAAAGAACCTACCTGCAAGTGATGATGATGGTCTTTTCTCCATCCCATGACGGGTTGTCAGCCATGACCTTGGCATGGGTGGTGACGTCCTGTGGGGACAGCTGGGGCGACTCATTAGGCTGGGTATGGATCCAGCCAAGGGGCTCCATTTCCTGTTTGAGGAAAGGAAAGAAGTTTATTTTTTATTTTTTTAAATGCTGGTACAAGAACAAAAAGGGCACTTTAACTAACAAGCACCAATCCTAAATTTGAATCAGTCTCTCCAAACTGTCTTACTTTGAGGTATTCGTGACCAGGCAGCTGGTTGGGCAGGTGGACAGTCTGGTGTGTCCCCCACTGTGGCACCATGACAATGCAGCGGATCTCCTTCACCTGGGGGTTGTCCGGTGGGCTGGTGCCATACAAGTATCCTGCAATCTGGAACAACACAGTGCACCGTCAGTATCTACAGACAGTTTCTTTCTTTACTTTGCACAGACGTTAATGAGGGACCTTCATGTAGAGGTATGTAAAGGTACCAGCAATAGTGTAACAGTTTGTCTGTAAACTGCAGTACTGTGGATCTCCTACATTACCTGTGCTCGCAGATCTGAGATGCAGATGAACTTCTTGAGGACGTTCTTGGGCAGGATGTAGGTGTAGCCGGTCTCCTTGATGTCATCAGACGACACGTAGATGTGGTTGGTTCGGAGATGGAGGTTGGCAGCAGATATGGCCCTAACAGGTTGAAGAACAAGGAACATTAAATCCAGCTGAGACAGAAACCAAAAAATAACTGCCTTGTTACCCATTTACTACAATAAGATGTGATGGTTATATTTCTTTATGGGTAAGAGACTTAATCTTTAACTCATTCCTGAGTGAAGTAATGCCATAAAACAAACTGTCTGTATACCTGACTCTCCACTCGGTCTTCGATGAGAACGTCTGGGTTTCGTAGTTGGAGGTGGTGGAGGTGATGATCTCGTCACCGTGCTTGTTGACAGTTCGGGTCTGTGTAGCAGTGAGCTGCGACTGCTCTTTAGTCTGCTTCTCGATCTCAGCAATTTGCTGGCGCTGCTGTGATGGAGCAGAGATCTCCATACCCAGGATGATGTCACGGATCTCAGACTGGGTCAGCGAAGCCACGTTAACACTGGATGAAGACAAATCAAGTGATGACTACTCAATCCAAGTCTGACTTTATCCAGTTACAGAGAACATATTGCATTGACTTCTGGCCAATATTCAGTCCATAAACTAATACTTACTTGTTCTTTTTGCCGTAATCTGCCAGAATGAGATCTTTGAGTTGCACTTCCACCTTTATCCACTCCTCATCAGTGAGTGTGGGCCAGATGTGATGGGGCTCAGTGATAGTGGTCTTGTCAGGTTTCAGGATTACCTTGGCGCGGTCATTATTGACGTGGAGCGCTCTGAGGATCAGGATGAGTCGGGAGAAGGCCTAGAGATGGAGCAGACCACCAAACACAGACTATTTACACAGGGGAATAAGTCACAAAATAAATAAAGACACCCAACTTTAGAGAAATCTGCTTGGATCAGCTCAGGTGATCAATACAGTGATATTAATTTATTATGATCCTTTCAATCCTGGTCTGAAGCTCTTGTGAGACAGAGTGAAACTCACTGTGTAAGACGAGATGGTCTTGAGCCAGTCGTCGTAGAGGTTGAACAGCACCATCTGAGGCTCTGTAGCCTTCAGGATCAGGTCTCCAAACTTCTCCACCTTCAGACAGGCCTGGAAGGGCAGCTGCAACTCAGAGCCTTTGATCACGATGTTGGGGAAGTCGAGCAAGTGGACCTGCACAAAAGAGACCAAAGACATTAGAACCGGAAAGCATTCAAAGTATGTATCAACCTTACAGAAATCACATAGATGACTCTTCAAGGCTTCAGGGTTGTTAGCATGAATGAGTCTCACCTCCAGAGGGTCCAGCATGCCCTTCCTGGTCACAATGATCTGTTTCGGCTGCTCCTCCACAGGGAGGGACCGAATCAGGGCAGCCACTTCTTCAGCTGTCTTCCATTTGGCCAGCTACAGAGATAGAGCAACAATAAAGTTAGACACTCAGGAAGGAACAAACACCTTCAGTGTCTGTGACAAATATCTACAGAGCCAATACAAAGCAGTAGCAAGGTGTTTGTTTGGGAGAAAAGAACTTTTCCTAAGACACACAATTCAACGATAACCATAGAAAGTGCTGCACTACTGTAAAACAAATGAGAAATCAAATCACTGAACCCAATAGGAGCGAGAATAAATAATACAAAAAGCATAGGTGGTGGTTGTAATAGTGAGCAGTGGTAGAGGAGGGCTGTACCTGTCCTAGACGTTTCTGTCCAGCCCACACAGATGTGTGAATGATCTTGAGGAAGAGTTGGCCAGTCCTGGGGTTGAAGATGAAAATAGCTCCGTTGATGGGCTTCGTGGTCAAGTTACCCTCAAAGGTCTGTTGAGATAAATGTAGAATACATGTGACTAAAAGGATTTCTTTCCATATTTCTATGTAAAAGCAGCATGTTCAGACACTTTATTTACAAGATTAAGAAGTAATTTGAACAAGTTGTGCACGTTATAGCACAACTCTGTTGAGGAGGAAAAGAACGTCAGTCCTCACCTTGTGGATGGTGACTCGGTACACATTGGTGTCATCTACAAACCAGATGATCTGGTTGGAGAAGAGTTCACCATAGTTCTGTGAGGACAGGTAGGGCTCAGTGGGCTCGGAGGAGTACAGTTGCAGACCTTTGCGGATACGCTCTCTGAGCACGTAAAGAGCCGGGTTGGCCTTCATGATCTTGGCCATGGCCTGCTGGATCAGAGGCTTGCTTCCAGGGAACCAGTTACCATAGCCACTATATGGAGAAATATAATTACATATATAGTTATATACTAACTGGAGATTGTTTGTTTTTTTTACATCAAGTTTTTTCCAGTCAATAGTCACACAAAAACACTTCAGGGGGTTAAGAGTGCATCTACTCTGAGACTTCCTATTGCAGACAGTTGTTCATGTTAAGAAAGCTAGTGTGAAGACTTCAAAAGGCTCCTGCAGAGCATACTTGTGGACATGAACAAATGGATGCCAAAATCCAGGCACTGCTGTCAAACATTAGCCTGTAGTTTATTTTTACACACCCACAATACACTGGGATTCACTTTAGATAAGGAAGAAAACCCCGTTTGCCTTCTTTAACCACCAGTCGATGCTGATTTGTGACCTGTAACCAAGTTGGCTTATTTTTTTTTTTTTTTACTACAATCAAATTGATCAAATTAACCATGTTCTATCCTACTTTATGTTTAAATCTCAATATCTGCCATTATACTGGT